ACGAGAGAGTTAATTATTACCGCCTTTGCTAAGAAACCAGCTACCGGCACCAGAAGTACTGTGGCGAAGAGCCGGGGCTCCTGAATTCATATAAGCCCACAAACATGTGGGCTTAAGTATGTTTCGATGCCCCGGCAGAAGTGCCACTGAACTCCTGTGCCGGTGGCTAAGGTTTCTGCTAAGGCGGTAATCACTACTCACGTAAATACGTATAATGAGTATACTTTATTGCAATCTCAATCGTACGTCGAGGTGATCGATCTCGATCGCACGAGTTGAGAGGAACGACTGATACATTACATTTGTCCCGCTCGGACAGCGCCACTACGACCATGAACACGTCGTAATCAAGATGGGCGAGTCGAGTCGACACACACTCCCCCCCCCCCCCCGAGTGCTAACGCTGGAGAGAAGTCACAAGAGAATAATTTCGGTATGACACTAAGTGTCTATCACGAATAACCGGCGCTGCCGAAAATTACAATGCCTATTACCGGACTAGGGTGTATCACAGGATGTAATTACAATACCGCTACTTAGAGATTAATACATACGCAGGATATATTGCAAAAACTTATAGTTCCCAGTCAGAAAGGTAACCTTGATTCAAGGTTGATTCAACGTCGATACGGTTGTCAGCTGGTTGAGTCGATAAGAAAGTCGATATTCCAACAATCTCAACCACTCTTTCATTGTTGATTCAAGATTGATTCAACGTCGAAGCAACTCACCCAGAAATGATTGGTCGAATCGACATCGATTTAACGTCGATAATTGACATTGATTGATATTAATCGATCATTTCTGGCTGGGTGGGCCTCTGCATTGTGTGAAATATTGGACATATCTCAGTCAGAAATGATTCGTCGATCGATGTCGAAACGACGTCGTTTCGACGTCGATCGACGAGTCATTTCTGACTGGGTATCGACATATCGTTGTATTGTTTGTTGCGGACTTTTTTCGACTATTGGTTCGACGTGACTGTGTCGGCTCGCTGTTAGAGCCGGGTGCCATTAATGAGAAGGAGAGAGAGCGCGTAGCCTGTGAATGCAGAGTGTAAATGTATAGTTTGGTAACAATCGCCGTTTGAATCGCCCGCGTTGTAGCGATGGCGCGCGCGAGGCGGCTGCATCAACGCCATTGGTCATAGCGCTACGCGGCGCTCGGATGAGCGTATCCTCGCGCTCAGTAACAGGCATAACACGCCATTGGTATATCGAGGTCACGTGATCCCCATCGGATAGTTCTGTCTGGGCCGTCGAGCGGTTCACACGTCTTCCGACGGAAGATAAATTTTTGATCCTGCGGGATTGCATCATCACGCGTGTGGCCTGGTTACCGGGCCATTGCATCGTTCAATTCACTATATTCCAAGCAATACCATTAAGTCTATTGGTTCGACGTGGCCGTGTCGGCTCAGTGTCTGTGAGCCGGGAGCCAATAACCAGAGAAGAAGAAGAGAATCCCCATCGGATCGCAACAGGCGAGCGTGGCGATCGGTGGAGGGGCACGGGGACTTCACTTCGGCTTGGACACCCGTAAGTGCTACGCGCGTGTTGTCGTGTGGTAATAAAGAATTGCGTAGATACCATAGACATATAAAAGATAGACTGCTTATGAGGCAGTGGAACCCTAGGTGGGGGCATCCTCCTGAGGGAAAAGAACAACATGAATTTATTTGGGTATTTGTCTTCCTCTAGTGGACGTGATCTGAAGGCGATCACGTGATCACGCCCACGTGATCACGTACACTAGAAGAAGATAGATACCCAAATAAATTGGTGTTGTCCTTTTCCCTCAGGAGGACATCCCCCACTACCTCATAAGCAGTCTATCTTTTATATGTCTATGGTAGATACGCATGCAAAACTTGTAAATTAAAACTTGCTCATAGAACTCTCCGCTCGCCTGCGAGCGGGCGCGCGGGATCTCCCCTCAGTGTGAGGGACCTCCGTCCAACGCCGCGAGCGGGACACAAAATCGACCATATTGATTAGTCGTGGCCGTATTGAAACCATGGACGTAATGAATATATGGACGGAACGTTAGCTCAGCGGGGAGTCAGATTCGCGGTAA